CGGTCAACGCCGGAATCCGGCGGAAAAAAAAAGTTTTTGAAAAAAAAAAATTTTGTGAAAAAAAAAAAGTTTTGGGTCAAAATTGAATAATTTGTGAAAGTTGGGGTCAAATTGAAGTTAAAGTAAGTTAAGGATGAAATTGGAGCATATTAAAGTAAGAGGGGTTATTTTAGTCCTTTACATAAATCTGGACCATGTGTGGACTTATTGGTAAAGGAGAATATTGTCTGGATCTCTTTATGAATAAGTTCCCACTGATGGGCTTATTTGTAATATGCCCAAAAAAAAAAGAATTCCAGCTTACTAAGGAAATATAGGTTCGCCCGGTGGGGAGGCGGATCCGGGCCCAGTTCGGGTCCAAATCGGTTTTCCTTTTTTTTCCCAAATAATTACAAGAAAGAAAAAAAACTTAGATTGAGAATTAAAAAAAGTTAAGATTAACTTTAAATTCAAAATAAATAAATAAAAAATTGAATTTTAAACAATAAACAATTTTAGAAAAAAATGAAATGATTAAGACCTTGAGATATAAACTAAATAAAATGAAAGTTGTGAATATTGGATTAGGGGTATTTATAAGTGAAAATAATAATTGAAAAAAATTTCAAAATTTCAAAATTAAAAAAAAAAAATTAAAATTCAATTTTTCTTTTAAATTAAATGGTATTTTTTTAATTTTTCAAAATTAAATATGTATGCATTTCTTATTTAATAATTCATTAAACGTTAGTTATATAATTATTATAATCATTTTATAGTGTTCTTTATATTAATATATTTATAGTTAGGCTTAGTATAACAATAGTTACTTTGCCCAAGTGGTTTATTTAACCATTCGGGCCACTCGGGTCCCCCCGTCAGGTAGACCCGTCGGGTCTTGGGTCCAAAATATCGGGACCCGAAACTGACCCGTACTTGGTCGGGTCTTGGTCGGGTCCGGGTTAAACCTGGCCCGTGGCCGTGTCTATTATGGACTACATTTATAAAGGGGTCCAGATAAGAAACTCTTTTACAAATAAGTTCAGACATTGTACAAATGTGTGTAGAAGATTAAAATACTCCTCACATTTTAACATTTTAATATGCTCTAATTTCATCATTTAATAAATTTAATTTCAATTTGACCACAACTTTCACAAATTATTCAATTTTGACCCATAACCCAATTTTGAGTACAATTTCGTTTGTCGCCGCCGTTGTTTTCTTTTTTATTTGTGTCTGTTTTTTCCGCCGGCCTCCGGTATTGACTTTTTCGATTGTTTTCTTCTTTCACCCGCCGCTGACCGGCAGTCAAGCCGGTCTTCGGTTGACTTTTTCTTTTTTTGTTTGTAAATTTTTTTTTCTTCAATACTTTTTGGCCTGTTTAAATAGCAATATTTTTGTGGTTGACAGTCATTAACTATAGGGTAAATTACAAACACCCCCCTGAGGTATGGTCAAATTACAAAAACACCCCTCTTGTTTGGATAATTACAAGCACCCCCTCAACTCCTCAAATTTAGTGGAATCTTCGAGATTATATGGAATATTATCACTTTGGTACCCGTTTTATCCCATTCAAACTCTACATTACGAAGCAAGATGATCATAATATGTGATTTTTAGCTTGTATATATCAGTTTGTGGTGCATCGGAAACTGTATTTTTACACAAAACAAATACAAACTAGAGCACATTTCACGGAATCTAGATGATTATGTTGAATTTGGCACCATAAGGGTGGAGGTGTAAGAAAAAATCATAGTTGAGGGGGTAGATGTAATTATCCAAACAAGAGGGGGGGTTTTGTAATTTGTCCATACCTCGGGGGGGTGTTTGTAATTTACCCAATATAAAAAAGACATGTTACTCTCCTCATGTTTATCACCGGGAATATTTCCTTGATTTTATACGGAAACGACTTTGATGATTTCCAATGATGGTAGCAACTGATTATGGAGCATTGACTATTTGAGGCGTATATTTCAATCCTTTGAATTTTATTTCTTTCCTATCTAGAAACTTTAATCTTTTGTCTCAATTCTTTTCAGACCTGATGATTCGTCCATTGGCTTTGGTGCCCTTGTTCGGGCAAATATGAGAACAGTCGGAGATGTTACAAGTGCTACTGTAAGTCTGTAACATCATCGTTGCAAGAAACTATAAGCTTCAATACATTCCGCTTAACATTATATTTAGAAACATGACTACATGTATTTAATATTTTGTGTTATCTATTACGCTGGAAAAGAGTTTGCATATGTAGTTGCATTTTGTAAGATTTGAAGAAGAGCAGTACAAAAGAACAAATTTCTTATCTACAGTCTACAGTTCTTGAAGCTCATGTTGAATATGTGGTTTCTCTAAATTTTGTTTCTACGGACTATAAAGGAATAAGATCTTCACCGTTGCTTGCTGCCGTTTTCCATTTTTTTCTTTGTTTTATCTGCAATGTAGGGATTTTATTGTTGTATGATCAAATCGATCGGGCACCGGCGCCGCGCCTTGCGCGGAGCCCCACCCCTAGTATATATATATATATATATATATATATATATATATATATATATATATATATATATATATATATATATATATATATATATATATATCCTGATACCCATCACATACAAACCAACCAAGCAAGTTCACAGCCAAAAATAAAAGTGAACCCAATAAATAAAATGTGATATATAAATAGTAGTCACAAAAAATAATAATTACTCTGAAAGATAAAGATGAGCATAAAATTAAATTCACCACCATATTAATTATATATGAGAGATATGGATCGAGGCTAGTGTTGTTCATGTATACACAAAATTAAAAAAAAAAAAAGAAGAACGTAAGTAGGGTTTGAATATATAATTGATTATGATCTGTCGTCGTTTACGACACCCTCATTCCCAGCGAGCATCAAGTACTTATCCCTTCTGGTAAGAGAAGTGCACTGAAATCCCAAAGCAGCAGCCAGTTGTCTCTGCAAGTAATTAGCCACCTCATGCCCAGTTTTACCACCTGCACACGTCATCTCTCTCGGCACCTTCCCTAGTATATGCACACTGTAACTCGGTCTGGGGTTCATCAAGAAGAAAACCGGGTCCAAGCACTTCAACCCACTCGCCGTCGTCCCGTAGAACATTGTCACATTCGTATTCATCGCCACCGGCACAATTTCATCTGCCAGCTCAGCAAACAGAGAGCTGAATCTCAACAAGTAAGGCTCCCTGCAAGTTGTCCCCTCAGGACAGACAACCAAATCCCCCTCGCTCAGCAGCCTCTGCATCGTTTCTCCGTCGCGTCTACGATCACGGCTCAGCCTCACGGTTCTTATGGGCGCCATTATTTCAGACATCTTGCTCAGGCTGTAGGTGACAGCTGTCAACGGCTTCTTGAGTGACGTGCTTAGGAAAACCGGGTCCAGGAGCGTACGGTGGGTGCACACGTAGAGTACTCCTTTCCCGTTTAGTGATTTCTTCGGTGCGGTGCCTTTGACCCTGATGTTGACCCCACTGCCCACCCCTAACAGGATTGAGAGATTGTAGGGTAAGAATATTCCGACGAATAATCGGAAGAGCGCTAGGAATATTCCGATGGGTAGCCACATGAACATTGAGAGTGTGGCGGCGGGTGTTGGTAGGAAAGCTAGTCTTCCGTCGTGGAATACGAGCGCCTTTGGGTATCTCTCTCTTGGCATTATTGTTGTTGATTTGTTTTCTTCTGATCTGTTCACCACAACATATGCTTCCTGTTCAATAAATAATAAATTATATTAAATGTTGGATCTGGTAGGTGATCTAATTAATTGATCTGCATGGGATGGGGCAACCTTAAAATAATACGCTTTAATTTAATTGTCTGATGATGATAATTATGTCGTTGTGTAATTAGTTTAAACTACTAGGGGCAAATATGTAAAAAGGAAATATAACTAATGTTGGATCTTGGAAATGATTATTAATTACCTTGCAGAGAGAGATAAACAGATGGTCATGGATGCTGCTTGAGGTACCAAGGCCAATATCAGGCCTCCTTTCACCAAAGTATTCCTTCAAAGCTCTGTGTTTCACAAGCAGACCCGAAGATGACAGCAACCCGGTGAAGTATTTGCCGTTGGTGTGCAACTCAGTTCCCAAAACTGAGTCAACGCGGAGATACTCTTTCAAGAATCCTTCCACCATAACCCTCGGCACAGTTGTGAACACAACCTTAGATCCAGCTGATTCCAGAACCTCGTACGCATGCAGGTTGATGTTTTCGAGGTAGAATTTGGGAAGAACAGCTCTGGAGACATTGTCCATATCCTTTTTCCTAAGCCCACAAAATGTAATGAAAATCATAACCCTCATTTTGAGGTCGTAATCCAAAACAAACAGGATCGGCCACGATAGAAGCAGAAAGAAGGCTCTGAAAATGCTGCCGCCTTCGAAAGCGACGAGCATGAAGTAAGGGAAGAAAGAGTCAGATCTGAGCAAGCAGCCATGGATGTCACACACCACTGTCTCAGATTTTCTGCCATGAAGATTGCATTTGGTGACGTTAGGGTACACTACAAAAAAAGACACTTTTAGCAAGGAAAAAACTTGTCACAATAAGTGCTAAATTTGTGGCTAAAACTTATTGTGGCTAAAATAAGTGCTTACTCTTTCGAGTAATATGTACAAGTAATTAAATAGAGAATATGATCCAAAACTAATACACCAAAAGCAATTTTTACTAGTTCTACCTTAAATTTTCGCTTTGCCAATTGGCATTCCGGCTTCGTCCAATCGACGTTGCGGCTTTGCCCAATCGCCACTGCAGCTCTGGCCAATCGTCGCTGCTGTTGCTACTTCGCCCAAGAACCATCTTCTTCAACATTAACTAAAGGGCTACTTCTCAAACCAATCTTTGAGAAGGATATATTAGGGGGTAAGTAATTCACTGAAAACTCATAAACATCAAACTAAAGGAGCTTATTGGAACTCATAAATTGTATTTTGAATTATCATATAAGATGGTTTTGACATTAATATGTTATCTCAATAAAAAACAGGAATCATAAGATTATGATACAAATTATGTAGTAGAGAATAAGACATTCATGAAGAAACACCTCCAACAGTTGATAAAATTAATAAATGGGAAACAACTAACCATCTCTAACAGTTCCACTTAAAATGTTGCAATATATAGTGGAAGCTCAGCCAAGTCTACCTCAACAACTAATCTGCAGATTGCCCCTATAAACATTTTGAATCCAACTTCAAACAAATTCAATAATAGATATAATAAGTAACATATTTCAATAACTAATACGCAGAAATAAAAAATAATTAGGGCTGTAGGTTTAGGGTTGCAGAAGGAAGGACGGAAAACAGGGGATTGACAATTTTTTTTCTTTTTTTATTTTTGCAAACAAAAAAAAAATAGAGGATGGATTTCTATGAAATACCTCTAGAATGAAGGGATGCGGCTGGTGCTCGGTGGAGACAACAAGTGGCGGCGCCGCTAGTGCTCGGCTGAGAAAAAAAGGGGCGGGGCGGCGCGGCGCGGCTGCTGCTCGGTGGAGACAAATAAGGGATGAGGGCGGCGCTGGTGGTTCTCGGGGACGGGCTGGGGGCGGTGGTGGTAGGAGAAATGAGGAGAGAGAGAGTAAAGGGCTTCTTGGTGCAGCAAACGTGAGAATTACAAGGAATTAGGGTTGTATATCAGTACATATTTTTTAACCTTTTAAATATAAAAATAAACAAATAATTTAGTGTATATTAATAATAATAATCGGAAAAAGTTATGAAAAATGCAGTATGTATATATGATTTGTGGAAAAAAGAAGTGATGATGATGATGGGAATATGGACAGGCTGCAGAAGAATTTATAGGAGGGAAGGGTGGTGGGGGTGGGGGTGGGAGGTTGACCATGCATGCACAATTTTTTAGGGGTGCATTTATTGCTTTCTTTTTTAATTTCTTCTCTCTTCTTCATCTATATACATATTATGGGGTTACGTTTCCTTTTATTTGTTATTTTATTTTTTCTCTTTGAATAAAAAGGTTATTATTACATAATTTCTTCTTTCTTAGGTGAGCATTATTTGGTAGGTCATATGTTGGTCACCGCCAACATCTTCTTTTCTTTCCTTTTTTATTTATTTGCTATTTACCAAGGCAGTGGCATGAGCCAACGGCCAAGACAATAACTCTTGGGAAAACGTATACATGCATGCCGGAATGGGAATATTATAATTTGATAAGTTTGAAAATTTGGTGGAAGGGAACAGTAGTTAAGAAATTAAGATCATGCAGTTGTTGTCAATCATTCTATGTGAATGTCTGATTAGTTCTGATAATTATGTCTGCATACGATTTGCATGCTAATGACTCATCATCATGCATGTTTGAATACTCCAACCACGCAGCTTAGATGCTTGAATCTTAACTGAATGGAATATATATAAATAATTGTGATGCTGCCATTTTTATTTTCAAGTAGTGTTGTCACAAGTTCATGATGATGATGATATATATATGGTATCATCAACTTAATGTTTTAGGAAGTAGGTCATTCATTAATTTCTCAAAGAAGAATCAATAGCACCAATTTTGTGATCTAATTGTGAACCAACAACGTGTTGCGTATAGTGTGTGCAATAATACTTAGACTCGTATTTATATGCATTACAATCAATTTTATCTATAATTAACATGTATAAATTGAACTTGTGGATCGGAGTGTCGTCCAAACGAAAAGAACTACAAAGGTATACATGCATTCGTTGGGACAAGCAAATTTTTATTAATTTATAATTAAATTATTGAATTAATAATTTAGCACGTTGTTATTGAGTCGGGACTGAAAAGTTATTATTTTACAGAGGTTCTAAAATGTTACTAAAAACACTAGTACAAGAATTACAAGGAGAGAAATAAGAAATTCCCCTCAATATTGAAGTAACCCCAAATTAAAGTGATTATTAGGCAGTGGCGGATCAACCTATGGTCTAGGGTGTGCAGTTGCACACCCTTGAGTTTGGAGAAATATTACTATTATACATAATTTGACAAAAAAGTCTGTTGGTTGAGGTGGTTAAATTATTCCAAATCAGGTGGTAGGTCGTGGGTTCGATTCCCCACCCTCTCATACACTGACTTCTTTTCCAAATCCTAACATTTTCACATTTTTTCTCTTTAAATATTTCCACAATTCACCCATAAATTGTAAATTTTTGGTCCACTATTTTCACATTTTTTTCTCTTTAAATATTTCCACAATTCACCCAAAATTTGTAATTGTAAATTTTTGGTCCGCTATTTTTATAAAGTGATATTTAAATTTTGTATTCTATAATTTCGAAACCCCTTGGCAAAAATCCTGGATTCGACACTGCTCGTAGAGAAACTAGACGAGCCCAATGTTCGAAGAGAAGAACTAAAGGAACCTAAAATGGAAGCTCAACAATGGACAAAACAAGATGTCCTTCCAAGTGCTTGTAAGATTTTGGAGAGGTAAAAGGTAAATTATAACTATTTTACCATTTCAAACCTTCAAAACTGACTCCATCGGAGAGAGCTATAATTTAGCCAACTACTAAATTTCATGACCCAGCTAGTATGTGTATACCAGTTTACTACTCATACTCACAGATGCTATCCAATATAATATTAACATAATGCAGCCCCCATCCTCTCTCCAAATTAAAGCAAATATCAGGGGCAATTTTTTTTAACTATATTTTGACTTTTTTTTTTATAACAGAAATAGGACATTTTTTGGGTTAATTTTATTTCTACAACAACACATAAAATAACAATGTATCACCGGGAGCCACATACCGTATATTTGACCAAAAATAATTGTTGAAATATAAAAAAAAAATCATGCATTTATTTATAATGTTGTTTAATTAATTAATTTTATTATTATTATTTTTATTTATTCAAATAAAAACAAATTTAATTAAAAAAAAAAGACTTTTTATTAATTAAACCTTTTATAATTTTTAGTTATAAAAAAATTGTTTATACAAAAAAATATTAAAATAAATTTACAGAGGTTCTACAAATGTTACTAAAAACACTAGTACAAGAATTACAAAGAGAGAAATAAGAAATTCCCCTCAATATTGAAGTAACCCCAAATTAAAGTGATTATTAGGCAGTGGCGGATCAACCTATGGTCTAGGGTGTGCAGTTGCACACTCTTGAGTTTGGACAAATATTACTATTATACATAATTTGACAAAAAAGTCTGTTGGTTGAAGTGGTTAAGTTATTCGAAATTAGGTAGTAAGGTCGTGGGTTCGATTCCCCACCCTCTCTCATACCCTGACTGCTTTTCCAAATCCTAACATTTTGGTCCACTATTTTTAATATTTTCACATTTTTTTCTCTTTAAATATTTCCACAATTCACCCAAAATTTGTAATTGTAAATTTTTGGTCCACTATTTTTATAAAGTGATATTTAAATTTTGTATTCTATAATTTCGAACCCTTTGGTCCACTATTTTTATAAAGTGATATTTAAATTTTGTATTCTATAATTTCGAACCCCCTTGGCAAAAATCCTGGATTCGGCACTGCTCGTAGGGAAACTAGACGAGCCCAATGTTCGAAGAGGAGAACTAATAAAGGACAATTCACCCAAAATTTGTAAATTGTAAATTTTTGGTCTACTATTTTTAATATTTTCATCTTTTTTCTCTTTAAATATTTCCACAGTTCACCCAAAATTTGTAATTGTAAATTTTTGGTCCACTATTTTTATAAAGTGATATTTAAATTTTTTATTCTATAATTTCGAACCCCTTGGCAAAAATCCTGGATTCGCCACTGCTCGTAGGGAAACTAGACAGCCCAATGTTCGAAGAGAAGAACTAAAACCGTTGCTAGGTATTGTACCCCGATTTTCTTTATCACAGTTGGGGCTTTCTTTATTCCATTTTGGTCAATGTTGATGCTGAGTTGGTGGTGCTTATAGAAAGAAGATTATTAATTAAAGGGAGAGTTAGGTTTTAGAGTTCAATGTGCAGTATGATTTTTAATTTATTTACTTCAGCAATCCGACGATTGACTTAGCTAATACATCGTTTTCCGGTGCCGACAGCCTCGTTGGCTTGTCCACCGATTTAATTTATTTCGAGCTTATGCATTCCATATTTCTTTCTGGGATTGGGCCCGTAATAAGGGCAGTCGGTTTGGGTTTTCTACGGCTGATTCCGAAAAAAAATTCCTGCCTACAGTACTGCCAAGCGTCGCATCCGCGATGGTCCGTCGGCTTCGGTGGTGGCCACCGCTCTTTCAGGCAGCCCCGGGGTATGCATATTTTCTTGGGTTTTCTATATTTTTGTCTTGTACGAGTAAATGACCTTTTCGTGATCAATTATGATTCTAGATTGTTATGCATTCCTTTGAATTTGTGAAATTGTTTGAAACATATTGCTATCGATTGTTCAATTTTTTTTTGGTGGCCTAATTTTTCTCATGAGCATTTAATTTAGTTTGGTTTATGAGAGGTATTTTCTGTTAAAAGTGTTTGCTTCTTCGCTGGAAATCGAAGGTATTCCTTTTAGGTGTACAATATAATAATAAAAAGACCTTGCAAGGGGTGGTAATGTAATTATCCGAATATGTTAGGGCTGATTTTATAATTAGAGGAAAATGTGCGGAAAGAATGGGTGCAGCAAGCAATATTTTAAAAATTGGCAGGTGTACAATATAATAATAAAAAGGGCTTGTAAGGGGTGGAAATGTAATTATCTGAATATATAAGGGCTAATTTTATAATTAAAGGAAAATGGCAGAAAAGAAAGGGTGCAACAAGCGATGTTTTAAAAATTGACAGGTGTATCATATAATAAGAATATGACTTGCAAGGGGTGGTAGTGAAATTATCCGAAAATGTTAGGGTTGATTTTATAATTACAGGAAAATTCGAGGAAAGAATGGGTGCAACAAGCAATATTTTAAAAATCACTGGGTGCTAATATAATAATAAAAGGGGCTTATCAGGGGTGGAAATGTAATCATCCAAAAATGTGAGGGCTGATTGTATAATTAAAGGAAAATGGAAGGAGAGAATGTACGCAGCAAGCAGTATTTTAAAAATTGACATATGTATAATATAATAAAAAAAAGCCTTGCAAGGGGTGGTTATGTAATTAACTGAAAATGTTAGGGCTGTTTTTATAACTAAAGGAAAATGAGAGAAAAGAATGGTTGCAACTTGCAGCAAGCAATATTTTAAAAATTTCTTGGGATAATATAATAATAATAATGGCTTATCATGGGTGGAAATGTAATTATCCAAAAATGTTAGGGCTGATTTATAATTAAAGGAAATGGGAGGAAGGAATGGGTGCAACAAGCAATATTTTTAAAATTGATAGGTGTATAATACACAATGTTATCAGAACCGGACCGGACAGAAAACCGGATACCCATTCGGGTCACGGTTGGACCGGTTCAACCGGGTTCAACCCGGGTTTTTTAGTTTTTTAAAATTTTAATTACTTTATTATTTTTAATATTTTAAATTATAATTTCTATACAGTTTTTTTGTCTTTCACATTTTCTTCCCCTTTATTATTTTTTTTAGGGTAAAATTCATTTTGCACCCCTGTACTATGATAAATGTATCGTTTACCGCCCTGAAGTATTGAAAACATCAAACACCCCCCTGCCGTTAGTTTTTTTCTTCTAATTCCGTTAGTCAAACACTTTGACCGACTATTGCAAAGAAATGTTGGCTTTTTTTTTTAATGAAAATACCCCAAAAAATTTCTATATATAGGAAAACTAACGGCACAAAACCCACAAAAAATGAAAACTAAAAGACCTGAAATCTATATATAGAAATTTTTTGGGGTATTTTCGTTAAAAAAAAGCCAACATTTCTTTGCAATAGTCGGTCAACGGGTTTGACTAACGAAATTAGAAGAAAAAAACTAACGGCAGGGGGGTATTTGATGTTTTCAATACTTCAGGGGGTAAACGATATATTTATCATAGTACAGGGGTGCAAAATGAATTTTACCCTTTTTTTTAGCCACTCACATTTATTATTATTCAGCACATACATTTTTTATATATTTTTTTATGCCCTCTTTTTCTACTTTCTCTCTCTTCTCTCTGCATTTTCTTCTCTCGTCACTGCCGTCTCCTTCTCCTGCGCATCATCTTTATCTCTGTTTCTTTCTCGAGAAAATTCAGCACCCCTCTCTCTCTCCCTTTTCTATTTTTTCTTTCTTCTTTTCTACCTTTTTTCTCCCTCCGTATCTAGCCACACATCTGAACCAATAAAACCCCAACAAAAATTTACAAATTTAAATATTTTTATTATAAATCACATCAGAACCAATAAAATACAAATCGAAAATACATAAATATACGCATATGTAACTACATGTTACTATATATAGTAATGTATAGTAATGTACACAGTCTGTTGAACAGATCTGATGTAACTTCAAAAAAAAAAATTTGACACCTTCAAGGAAAGGATCAATGGCCTTCATTAAGCTGCAATTGCAAAAACAAAACAAAAAGAAATTACTTTAGTGCAAATCAACAAATTTGAAGAAAAACATCAAAACACTCAAAAATCACCAAACATTAAGAGATCAAGAGATAGAGAGAGAGGTTATTGCTGGGAAATACTACAGATTTTAAATCAAACAGACAGTGACTCCTCACCCCCCTCGCCTCCTACCAAAACCCTAGACGCCGCTAATAAACACCAACGGTTCCGCGCGCCCACAAATGCAAAAAATATAGGAATAAATCTGAAAACATAAAAATAAACGAAATTACCATCAAAATATATATCCCGACGAGAGGAATCCAACGGTGGGTGGCCCGTCAAATTTCGACGGGTGGAACACAAAATAAAACTCCGGCAAGACCACCGTCCTCGAATGAAAAAAATTGCAGAAACAGATCAGCGTTCAAAACTGAATGAAATCACCACCAAAAGAAAGAGCTCGACGAGAGGAATCCAACGGTAGTTAAACCATCGAATTCCGACCACCGGAGAGAGAGTTATGGCTCCGGGAAGGAATTTCGCCGGTGGGAGGTTTGTGGAGGCGGGATTTTGAATTTGGGAGAAAAGAAGAGAGAGACGTGAGTGGCTAGGGTTTAAAACTGATTTTAGAAGGGTATTATAGGAACTTCAGGTTAGCCCAGGGGTATGTCAAAATATTTTTGAAATGAGGGGTTTCCCCTAGAGTGTAATCCACTTGGTAGTTAGTTATATATAATTTGGAAATGAGGGGGGTCTACAAAATAATCCCATAAATAAAATTAATGTGATATATAAATAGTAGTAATGTATTATTATTAACACAACAAAAATTATTATTATTGTATAATGAAGCAATATTAATATGTTGATTGTTCAGTAAAAGGCAAACATAATAAAAAAAAAAAAAGCAAAATAATTAATCTTAATGTGGTTGACAGTAATATTGATGTGATTGTAATGGAGTAATATTAATATGACTCCTTCGATCCTACACCCGGTGATAAACATGAGGAAAATCTTCTTCTAAAATCTCTACAAATTAACCCACGCGGAGAATATATGATCTTTCAAATAAACCCGTTTATTATCAAATACAAAAAATAATACGGAGTAGTATGATCCAAGAAGTCATATATATCCTGATTCCCATCAGATACAAACCAACCAAGCAAGTTCACACTGAAAAATAAATGTGAACCCAATAAATAAAATGTGATATATAAATAGTAAGTAGTAATATATTTCACAGAAACAATAATAATTACTCTGGAAGATAAAGATGAGCATAAAATGAAATTCAGCAGCATATTAATTATATATGAGAGATATGGATCGAGGCTAGTGTTGTTCATGTATACACAAAATAAATTAATAAAAAAAAGAGCTAGGGTATGAATAATAATATAATTGATTATGATCTGTCGTCGTTTACGACACCCTCATTCCCAGCGAGCATCAAGTACTTATCCCTTCTGGTAAGAGAAGTGCACTGAAATCCCAAAGCAGCAGCCAGTTGTCTCTGCAAGTAATTAGCCACCTCATGCCCAGTTTTACCACCTGCACACGTCATCTCTCTCGGCACCTTCCCTAGTATATGCACACTGTAACTCGGTCTGGGGTTCATCAAGAAGAAAACCGGGTCCAAGCACTTCAACCCACTCGCCGTCGTCCCGTAGAACATTGTCACATTCGTATTCATCGCCACCGGCACAATTTCATCTGCCAGCTCAGCAAACAGAGAGCTGAATCTCAACAAGTAAGGCTCCCTGCAAGTTGTCCCCTCAGGACAGACAACCAAATCCCCCTCGCTCAGCAGCCTCTGCATCGTTTCTCCGTCGCGTCTACGATCACGGCTCAGCCTCACGGTTCTTATGGGCGCCATTATTTCAGACATCTTGCTCAGGCTGTAGGTGACAGCTGTCAACGGCTTCTTGAGTGACGTGCTTAGGAAAACCGGGTCCAGGAGCGTACGGTGGGTGCACACGTAGAGTACTCCTTTCCCGTTTAGTGATTTCTTCGGTGCGGTGCCTTTGACCCTGATGTTGACCCCACTGCCCACCCCTAACAGGATTGAGAGATTGTAGGGTAAGAATATTCCGACGAATAATCGGAAGAGCGCTAGGAATATTCCGATGGGTAGCCACATGAACATTGAGAGTGTGGCGGCGGGTGTTGGTAGGAAAGCTAGTCTTCCGTCGTGGAATACGAGCGCCTTTGGGTATCTCTCTCTTGGCATTATTGTTGTTGATTTGTTTTCTTCTGATCTGTTCACCACAACATATGCTTCCTGTTCAATAAATAATAAATTATATTAAATGTTGGATCTGGTAGGTGATCTAATTAATTGATCTGCATGGGATGGGGCAACCTTAAAATAATACGCTTTAATTTAATTGTCTGATGATGATAATTATGTCGTTGTGTAATTAGTTTAAACTACTAGGGGCAAATATGTAAAAAGGAAATATAACTAATGTTGGATCTTGGAAATGATTATTAATTACCTTGCAGAGAGAGATAAACAGATGGTCATGGATGCTGCTTGAGGTACCAAGGCCAATATCAGGCCTCCTTTCACCAAAGTATTCCTTCAAAGCTCTGTGTTTCACAAGCAGACCCGAAGATGACAGCAACCCGGTGAAGTATTTGCCGTTGGTGTGCAACTCAGTTCCCAAAACTGAGTCAACGCGGAGATACTCTTTCAAGAATCCTTCCACCATAACCCTCGGCACAGTTGTGAACACAACCTTAGATCCAGCTGATTCCAGAACCTCGTACGCATGCAGGTTGATGTTTTCGAGGTAGAATTTGGGAAGAACAGCTCTGGAGACATTGTCCATATCCTTTTTCCTAAGCCCACAAAATGTAATGAAAATCATAACCCTCATTTTGAGGTCGTAATCCAAAACAAACAGGATCGGCCACGATAGAAGCAGAAAGAAGGCTCTGAAAATGCTGCCGCCTTCGAAAGCGACGAGCATGAAGTAAGGGAAGAAAGAGTGATCAGATCTGAGCAAGCAGCCATGGATGTCACACACCACCGTCTGAGATTTTCTGCCATGAAGATTGCATTTGGTGACGTTAGGGTAGAGAGGGAAAACGTGTGATGAAGTTGATTTGATGGTGGATGGGGTTTTGAGGAAGAAGAAGCCATTGTTTTTGAGCTTCATAGCAGCTGTGTAGAATGAGTTAGCTAACAAGTGGTAAAAGAACCAGTCTGCTAATCTTAGTAGCACCATGGGAAACTCCATGGCTTTTACTGGTGCACTCATTTTCTTTTTCGTTATTTTAGAGAGAGAGAGAGATAATTATCGGAAGGTTCAGTATGTATATATATATGATTTGTGGAAAAAAGAAAAGAAAAGTAAAGAAGTGTTGATGATGATGAGAATATGGACAGACTGCAGAAGAATTTATAGGAGGGGAGGGGTGGTGGTACTGCTGGGGTGGGGGTGGGAGGTTGACCATGCATGCACAAATACAATTGCTTAGCCATACCGGTGGGGGGGCCGGGCCATTTATTGCTTCTTTTTTTAATCTCTTCATCTTAAATATTATGGGGTTAATACGTTTCCTTTAATTTGTTATTTTATTATTTATTTTTTCTCTTTGAATACTAATTTCTTGTTTCCTAGGTGAGCAATATTTGGTAGGTCATATGTTGGTCACCGCCAACATCTTCTTTTTTCTTTCTTTTCTTATTATTATTTCGGGTTGGTAATTAATTTGGAAATTCTTACAAAATATAGTTTGAGTGGTGCACTGCACTGCATTGGATTGTGTGCGCATGCATCATTTTTAAGAGTAGTTATGGATGCCATAAGGCCTTGGGGACCTCTTGTTCCTCATCGATCATCATTATCATCACTCCCTCCTCACCAATTAATAATCAATATATTCAACAGAGATAAATCCCAGAAATAATATTTTCAATATTATTATATCCAAAAATAAATATATATATAGGAAGGAGCCATGAATGTGTTTGAACTCAGAAATTAATTTCTGATCAATTTTTTTAACTGCTAACAGAATTAATCAATAAGTTTATAATTCTTGGAACACAAGATTTAATTACTGTTCAACTTGCTGCACTTAATTACATCCACCGCCTATATACCGTTGACTTTGCCTTTGATTATTAATTATTAAAGAATTCTTTCTGCCCATTTTCTTTTTTCCTTTTTTTTTTTTGGGTGGTGCAATAATAAATAATAATATTACTGTTGGATGCAATAAATGGAACTCGGTTTGATCGTGGACTAGCTTGAATTCGAATCTTCTACTCCTACTTATTTAATATTTGTTTATTTATTTCATATCAAATTAGTTTATCGTCTTCATATTAGGTTAGGTAGTTATATCTTATAACTGAACATGAAGTAGTAGTATATAGATGATGAAATTTCCGTTCAACAATTATAAGACAAATATATAGGGGAGGGCTCGGAGTACGTGGTTGAAATCCCAACAGTATTTCACCAAGAATTAGAGTAATTAGAGACTATCCTTCTCTTTCTTCTTCTTTTTTTTTTTTTTAATAATATTTATTTGCTATTTACCAAGGCATTGGCATGAGCCAACGGCCAAGACAATAACTAAATGCATAGTAGAATATATTGGGAAAACGTATACATGCATGCCGGAATTATGGGAATATTATAATTTGATAAGTTTGAAAATTTAAGAAATTAAGATCATGCAGTTGTTGTCAATCATTCTATGTGAATGTCTGATTAGCTCTGATAATTATGTCTGCATACATACGATTTGCATGCTAATGACTCATCATCATGCATGTTTGAATACTCCAACCACGTAGCTTAGATGCTTGAATCTTAACTGAATGGAATATATATATATATATATA